CAAACGAACCCTATATAAGGTCTGCATACGACCTGTCATGACCTACGCGGCCCCCATTTTTGCACATGCTAAGCCCAAAGCTATAAATGAACTTCAAATAGTTCAAAATCTATTCTGTCGTAGGGCCACTAACTCGCTCTATTATGTCCGTAATGCCGACCTACACCGAGACTTAGAGCTCCCAACAATCCAGCAGTTCCTTAAATCACTCTCTGAGAGATTTTTCAAAGCCTCAGAGTCCCACCCAAATCATCTCATTCGTGAGACAGCTGCCTATGCAGCCCCTATCCACACTCGCTATAGTGTGCGCAGACCGAGAAACTCTCTCTCGGACCCCCCCAACAAGCTTTCGGCTGACCTGAACTGCCTCCTGGCGGTTCAGGCCGAGCCGAGCAGCTTTAGTGGGTAAAAGTCTCCACATAACCACGCAGCCGGCTGCGTGGTATGCTATGAGCATTCACCGCCTACCTCTCCCGCTTTCCGGAGGATTGCCCATATTTGCTTCCGGCGCAAAAAAAACCCATTCGTGCTACAGCCATAATACAGCTGTAGCGTGACTCTAATACATGCGTATATTTGGCGACTTACGTATTAGATATTAATAAGTATGTCTTACTTTTGAAAATGGAATTCCTTGGCTGACATTTTTTTACTGAGGTAAAATTTCTTTAGGTGCTCCTTGAGAATAACTTAGATTATTTTTCGGACGGGAGTAACGTTCAGTAAAATCTATGTTCCGTTCACGCAGTGTTCGTATTTATAAAGGCAACGTATATATATTATTTCTGATGTGTTGATGTGTGCTCAGGTCTCGATATATGGCCATACCTCAATTGTTATACTTTTAGCTAGACATCAAATCCGTATTATTATTAACTTTACAATAACTACAGAAATTGAATTTAACGATTAGTTTATTTTCTAATTGATTCACTTTAGGTTACATAGCAAAAAATGTAATGGAAAAAATATATGGACTGTCGGCCGTTGGTCTGTGCCTCGGTGAGTCTTCTCGCTTAATAGAAATCTATGCAATAGATTGAGATATATAGTATTAAATAAGATTCTATATATTTTAAGAAGGATCCCTATCGATTTTGATTTTGGAACTCAACACCGTTTAAACGTTATTAATGAAAGTCGATCTCTGTTTTATTTTTTCTTTTTAAAATTATCGTCACTATTTTCGTCATATCGTAATAAACCTGTAAGGCGTGCACTTTTGGATTTTCCAAATATCTCTTGAAAATGAATGATGAAAAGTTATTGGGAAAACTGGAAAAGAATGGCGGGACAAATTTAGAAATAAAGATTGATGAAATAAAAGTTGTTGAAAAAATATAATAATAGTATTATTACTAATCTGGAACAGAAAAACTGATGAGTTCGATTACAGTGTCAACATTGCTTCATCGTCACCCTCTGCACCTGAAACAAAAAGAAAAATTATATCAGAAATATCTCGCCCGTATCCCCTTGGTTTGATTTGAGCTTAGTTTATTTTCTTCTCTCAGGGTCAATGTCTATGCTTCAGAGCAAAGACATTGAAGTATATTACAAATATGTTTATATACCATAGATGTTACTGGTCGCAGTGATACTGGTCTTATTAGACCTGCATAGCTGCTCGCTCAAAAAAAATTTATGTGTTTAACTTCAAGATTCAATGTGAAATTCTGTTCCTCAACCTCAAGTTTTAAATAATATAACCAAAAAATGTTGTAAACAATTTGAAATTACATTTTTAATGAACATTTTTTATAAAATTAAAGAATACTTTCAATTAAATTTGTAGTATTTAAACTTTAAAAACTATTACAAATAACCTATACAGCGGGGCCACACACACATACACACACCCCCTTTTTATTTTTAATTTATACGACGTTCGGGAAAAGCACCATTGCATTGCAAGTTTTAAAATCCGGTATAGCTAATAATAATACGTATTATTTGCGAAATGGTTAATATAGGTATCGCAAAAATAATATTGTGAAATCACTTAATCAAGTACAAGAAATACATAAAGAAAGAAAGCTAATCAGATTTTGGCAAACAATGAGCTTTTCGATTAGTTATAGAATTTAGTAACCCTACACTCGAGCCTCGGGCTGGATACGTGGAACCTAACAAAGCCTTTTGTTTCCACTCGGCCCCAGTCGCTTTTTACCTTATTTATTTTACTCTTATTGCATTCCCAAAGTGCTGACCAAGTCAACGTAGACTTTGAGAACTGGTTTTCGTGCCTTTACGTGCTTTAATGAGTATAGTAAGTGTTCATAAAAAGTTGTGAACTCATCGGTGTTTAATCTAAATAAAAAAGAGAAAACCCTATTTTATACCAATATATTAATTTTAACATATTTTACTACTTTTTGCTGCTTCAATGTTACTTAAATATCCTACCCACTTTACAAAGTTTAACTGAGTACTTTGTTTACTTATAAATTATAATCCCAAGATATTTTAATTAGAAACTTACTTTGTTAAATTTAAAAATTATGCATTTAAAATAAGACAGAAGAGAGAAAATAAACAGCAACAGATCTTATCCAAAAACTTATTTTAAATAAAAATATATCATATTTATTATATTTTTGACTATCGCGTGACTCGGTGATCAGAGTACCTGATTATATAACAGGTTCTGGGTACGAGTTGCAGCTGGAATCAACATTTGTGCAGAAAACAAATTGTTAGTTTACGGTTCTGGTGTCCTCGTTCCTTTGACACTGCACTCTAGCCCACTATTTAGCAGATGCTTTTTGATTTAGAATTAGTTTTAACCTTTTTTCATTAGCATTACACGGAATTTCTATTGATTCTAAACTCCAGCGTCGATATTAACTTTGAAAATAATTCTGCATTTTCACTATTAAAAAAATTTGAAAGCTGTCTGATTAAAGCATGAACTAAACGAAAAAAACTAAAATTAAACTACTTTACCTATTTGATGTCCTTTACCTTTGATGTACCTATTATTGAAGGGATCCGCAGCCGGATTACAAACAATACAATCTATAACTTGGAAGCTATGCAACCTTTTTAATGAGACTATTATTTTGACATTTTCGTAGTTTGTTTTTGAAAAGATAACGTGTGTACGAATAAATATAAAATTATTTACCTAATAAAATAAACGTACTGTCTTTTTTTAATAGAATACGGGTGACAAAAGAGCACTTAGTCCACCTGGTGTTAAATGGTTGCTGTGGCCCATAGACATCTACATCTATCCTTGATGACGAATCAAAATGCAGGTACGTTGTCACCCGCAAGGACTAAGATGGAACGTCTTGTTTGCAGTAAAATGGGTCTTCGGGGCCATACGAAACACAGCAGCGTTAAGCTGCTATTTTACACTGGTATTCTGTGAGAGCGTGGTCCTTCCTCGGTCGAGCCGACCCATTCGTGCTAAAACTATAGTACTAATATAGCTGCAGCATGGCTCTACCACGTAAAAAAATCTGTCTCCTATAAAACTAGAGAAGGATTTGGGAAGATTCTCTATATCTTTAGACCAGAGCAGAGCAGTGCAGGAATTGCTGCTTGACGGCAGATATAGGTAAGAGGAGAGAAAATTAGCCAGGATATACTATAAATACACATCTGTACCTTTGCGTAGTTGTTATTCAAACGAACGATTCAAACAAGGCGACCACTGAGGTCAGTAGCTTGTAAACGCTAATTTATTGTTATTACACGTCGGATGTAATTTCAAGTACGTAGCTAGTATTTATTGATTATGTTTATAACCAGGTATTCTGCAATCTAGTGCGTAATATATTGAATTATGCGAGCAAACGCTGTCAAAATTGTTTGCTTCATAAATGGATGTGATATATATAGAAGGACACCATTACCGAGCAATGGTACGTACACTTTATTTACGATGCAGGTAACTTACGATCGTGTATTGTGGTATTCCTAGACGGAAGCGTGTTTTCTTTGCGTAGGCGAAATTGGGAAGGTGCGCTTCGAGTTCTGGTGCGTCTTACCTGAGAAGGAGAAGGGAGAGGAGTGGTTAGTCCTCTCTCGAGAAAGGGCCGCCATGGAGCAGCTAGCGCTGGTGCGACCACGGATACGTAGCTAAAGCGTGGTGGTAAAGGTGGAATGCTATAGGTCGGTGTGAGTCCGATATAACCCGCCCTAGCCCTCGCAAAGCGGATATGTGTAGTCATTTCCCCATGGAAAAAATGGGGCGAAGCCTTTTCTATAAAATAGATATGACCAATGAACTTATAGTCCATCTGAAGGCAAGTGTTTACTGCAGCCCATGGATCTCTGGAACCAACTTCAAATAAAGAAGGCTACAAACGCGTACCCAGTTCCGAGGACTAAGATGGAGTGACTCCCAGCCGACAGTAAGTAAATAATTATACTGACTTTTTATAGCCTTCTGACCGGAATACAGCAATGCGCCCACTTTTATTTGGCGACATAAAAGTGCTTGTTTTCGTGCGTGCGTGCGTGTGTGCGTGCGTGCGTGTGTATTTGTGTGTGTTTCCCTTTAAAAAAGTTAGTGTTGGGAATCGTATAGGTACATACCCTTTCTACTGGTAACAAGGTATTTCATTTAAATTCTTATCCATATTCCTGGGGTGACTACGTATATCTACGTGACACGGCATTCGTCTATCATATGGAATATGTGCTCGTTTGTCGGTTTTACTTTTATAAAAATGTATTATTGCAGCTTTCAGGTATCAAAATTACTGTGAAGAGTTAATATGAGTATCCACGCTTCGAGTAATTTCCTCTTATTGCAATTTTAAACACGATGAATAAGTACTTTTATGCTATTCCTAATGCAATTGGATAATTGAATGATAAGCACAAGAATACACAAACCGACAGTCTTTTACATTCAATATGTGACATTTTATAAAAGTGTTGATGTAAACGAAAAATAAAACTTTAGATGTACGAACGTATGTTTAGTCAGACATTGCCTCGAAGTTTCGCAACCAATTAGACGTTTGATTTGTCGAATTCGTGCCATGAGTGGATTGTATAACGGGCATGCACATGACGAAATGTTAGACAAGTTATCAATATGGGACGTGATAGTGTTGGTCGTGATTGTGATGGTGCTGGTGGCAACTGGTTGCTATTTATTTAAGCAGCTGAAGCGTCATTACATCAAGTACATTCAGCGTGAAGTGAAGAGGGAAGTCGAAGCTGTTCTGACCGAAGGAAGAGTTGCAGTACCACAGTGATAGCTTAAGCCTGTAATTCCATCTGTAAAATTTAGTAAATATACTTAGAATGTAAAAAATATGTATAACTAAAACTTTAAAAAATAATAAACACTTTTTAACACGTCTTATTGCAAATTTAGTTAAATAATAAAATTAAAATAATTGAAATTGTTTTTTTTTTCTTCATAATAAAGGCCATTAAAGATTAAGAACATACAGTCTTTTTCACTATGTAGACATTTTTGAAAAAAAAAATAAAGAAATGGAAACTAATATAATATAGAATATTTTGAAGTGTAATAAAATTTTATATCGTATAAAAACATGAAAGTCACATCAATAACATTTCAAACACGATCTTTGGCATACATTCTTGCTAAAGATAGTGTACATATATTTATGTAGCTCTTTTATATAGCAAACTTCCTTTCTATCTGTTGCAACTGTAGATCGGTTTCAATATACGCCACAATAGGTTTAGTTTCTTGCAAGCGCGGTTTCTTTATGACAAAATGCGATTTTAATAACGGTATCATTACAATAGACAAACACTGCTTTAATATCAACGCTAGCGTTAAGGAGAAATATAACCTCAAAAGGCTTAGTTAGGTCCTCCGTTATGCCGAAAATATTGCAGCATTAACTTTGAAATAAATATATGGTAAAGTTGAGGATTAATGTTAAGTACTATGTTTCCTGCCGCCCGGTTCCAAGCTTCAGGACGCCGATAGTTTAGGTAATTTCTTTTTACAGTGAAAATAATGGTAATTAAAATAAAATTAAAACATAAGCCCTGCTTTATAGTTAGTTCAGTTAGTATGCAAAGTTTCATGATCTAATTTAAAGTATTTTATGAATAACAGCCGTTTATTGTTCAGTTTGGAGGTAGCTTTGGATTTTTTTTCTATCGAGAAAATTTTACGGAATCATGTTTTCGTCTAATATAGTACTTAACATTAATCCTCAACTTTACCACTTCAAAATTAATGCTGCAATATTTTCGGTAAAACGGAGGATCTTGCTAAGCTGTTTGAGGTTATATTCCCCCTTAACAGAAGAAACTAGCCGTCTTTTATTTTTTAAGTTCATGCGACGTTGCAGTGTTTTATAACTTTTTTAACATTGTGTGCAAAAATAATTTTGTTTAATAAATATTGAACATACGGATAAGTGATGTGCGAAGACAGAAACGCGATTTGTATAAAACTAAAAAAAATCGTAAAAGTGACACTAAATCGCTTATTAAACGTATACCTGGCAGAGATGCCACAATGAAACTGTGTAAGAATCCCTCGCTGAGCATCCACGAGCAAGTTACTCCACTCCTGAGCGTGGGTGCTCAGGCTGCCCCGCGTATTGGGGGGGGGGGGGCGAAATTCCGCTCAAGACAACAACTGCTCGGGGCAAACTGAGCAACAAGAGCAAAGCGGCCCCTGCCACGCTATCCGTGAATTCCTGTAATATAAGGGGACTTCATTCTAACCTAAACGCCGTCGACTACCATCTCAAGATGCTCGTGCTCCTTTGTGCCTCGGGTTTGAGTTTGCGTTTACGTCAGAGAGGACATCTGATCTCGACGCCTCGGCAGTCTTGAAGGTTCGGACCTGTCCATCAGTTGGCTACGCGTAGACAGCGACGACCATCCGCGAGTCTACGGGTACCTCTATAGGTCCCGATACCATACACCCCATCTGGATGCTTGGCGATCTACCACTGTACTTTTCACAAGGAGTTTTCTTCCGCCTTGGTCTTGTTGCTCCGTTTACGCCGAGCAGTTGTCGTTTTGAGCGAAATTTTGCCCCCTCCCCCCAGAATGCGCGGGGCAGCCTGAGCACCCCCGCTCAGTAGTGGAGTAACTTTGTCGTCGATGCTCAGCGAGGGATTCTCCAGGGGTGTTGGTACCCTCCTGGGGTAGTCTAACATTTAATTCCGCTACAATGTTGAGGGGTGGGGGAGAATTGGGCCTTCGGCCACCTGCACTCAACAAACGAAACGCGGAAGCAGAGCTACCACTTCACGCATTCTGTGAGGTGAGGACGGTATTCTGTGAGGTCGTGGTACCACCCCGGTTTGAGCCGGCCCATACGTGCAACAGCAAAGCTGCCGAGTGGCTCTAGCACTGTTAATTTCCTTAATCGAGACCAGAAGTAGAGTTTATTTTGTAACTTGTTTCTTGAAACATACTATTAAGTCATAGGATGCTTCCACTATACGAGTAGAAAGAATATCCTTTAATTGCCCATTTGGTGATAGTAATACCAGGAAGTGTCTCTCATCTTTGACGCTGCTCACCGATGGTGGTGTGAGTATTACACATCTGGAATATACGAAATGGTCATACTACCTTATACCACGAGATCTTTCCGAGGTCTCCCATTGTCTTATCTGAACTCTTCTATAGTCGCCTCATAGGCTTGTACGAGTAAGTGGCATGTAATATTAGAATGCCTAATATCGCTATCTACTTCTATCGCTATATCTATACATACAAATAAATAAAATTAAAATTTTTGTCCATCTGTCTAGTTTTTTTTTTCTATAGAATAAGGGTGACAAACTAGCACACAGTCCACCTGATGGTAAGTGTATGCTGTGGCCCATGGACTTCTTTTTTTCTTCAATTAAGAATCAAAATTCAGATGCGTTGTAACCCCTGAGAACTGAGTTGGAATGCCTCGTTTCCACTAAAAAGGGTTTCCAGTCCTCTACACTCACCATACAAAACACAACAGCATTAAGCTGCTATTTTACGCTGGTATTCTATGAGAGCGTGGCCCTACCCCGATCGAACCAACCCATTCGTGCTGCAACCACAATATAGCCGCAGCATTGTTCTACCACGTAATCCGTTTGTGCTGGATTTTCTCCTCTGGACCGATTTTGAACTTTTACTTTCAGATAGCTGATGTTATGAGGAGTAGATATGCCAACATTGTTTTGGAAAAATAGTGATGGTTACGCGCAAAAGAAATTAAAACCCATGAAAACATTAAAATTGATATACAAATAGGAAAGTATAATAATAAATTACTGAAAAATATTCGGTGCGAACGAAGTCGCAGGCGTTATATTATAAAATGTACTTTTTACTTTATAAACAAATCTATATTTTAAGACTTTTAGACTAAAAATTCATAAAAATTTAACATTTATTCGTAATTAATTGCTAAAATTCAATAGTTTGACATAATTGCAAAGGGATGTGTAGTGTGTAATTTCTGAAAATAATTACTTGCGAACATTCTGCGGAAGCAGCGTAGCTAACTTACTTCGTTGCGATCGAACAGATAATCCATAACGGGTTTTATGTTATAATCTACGTGCCTTAAAGGGATAATGGTTTGATTTTATGATTATGCTTATGTCAACTATTATAAATTTTGTTTGCTTTAAGTGTATATTTTGTTAGAAGTTTTGATTTATTACATATTATTTTTACGTTTATAATGTATAGTTACAGCTATCCTAATGCGAGGCACAAGCAGGAATATAAGAATATAATAATATAATAAGGGTGACAAACGAGCACACAGTCCACCTGATGGTAAGTGGATGCTGTGGCCCATAGACATTCACATTTATCCTCGTTTAAGAATCAAAACGCAGATACCCCTTGAGGACTAAAATGGAATGCCTCGTTTTCAATAAAAAAGTGTCTCCAGATCTCATTCACTATACGAAACACATTCAGTATTAAGCTGCTATTTCAAGCTGGTATACTGTGAGAGCGTGGTCCTTCCCCGGTCGAGCCGGCCCATTCGTGCTACAACCATAATATAACTGCAGCGTGGCTGTACCACGTATAAAATTGTGTTGGCCGACTTTACATATCGTCTAAATATTATACCTCAGACATGCAGGTTTTTTCTAGATGTTTTCCTTCAACGTGCACTGTTCCAGCACGTGGTTAATCGGATAGACTAGATTCCTAATATTGTTATAATAACTTTAAAGTGAGAGCTGTTACTAGATACAAGTTAATGGATATTAATTAAATTACTACCTTCCCTACCGTAAGATGATGAAAACCGTTACCCTTACCATTACAGCCTATTAAAGTCCTCTGCTGAACATAGACCCCCCAAAGAGGCGTCATAGGAGGGATATTTACCATAGTTGTTGCGCTTAAAAAGCGGGTCGGCAACAGCAGTTTTTTTATTTCTAGTCGTTATTAGGGGCTTTATCCACTTCAATTTATTTTAACTAAATAAAAAACTAAAATACATAAAAAATAAATACCATAATACACTAATTGAATATTTTTAGGTAGTACGGCTCCGTTTTTGCCATACAATCGATCGTCGTGTGTACATGTCGTGTCCGGAACACGAAACGAAAATTTGAAGAATTTTCTCTTAGGCCTCTGAGGTGATAACAAATCTCTAGCCTTCATGTTTGAAGTTCATTGCAGTTGAACGTGAGCTGTAGTGCCCTCCTACCATAAGGGATTTTGCACCCTCGTGTAAACATAAAATAATAAAACTGATTTTTAGCCAAAATTAAAAAAAAATCTCTGCTTATAAAGAGAAAATAATATAAAATTTTTGTTTTGGTTTTGAATACAATCGATCTTTCATCGGATTTGAATCGGTGTTAATAAAAGAAAGTTACATTATGTATAATTTATTAATAAATAGAAACGTAGTAGCAAATTTGCCTGAATCTATTTTTTAGAGTTAACGAAACACTTAGCACTACCGAGGTGTAACTTTTTTTCTCTCTGATATTCTAAAATAAGCGAGCCTAAACCAATCATTGATCCCTTATACCGACGTCACTGTATATACAGAAACAGAAACTTTTTTATTTAATATAGATTATAAATAATACATATTGAAAGTCACTTTTTTAATTTTCTACTGGTTCGAAAGAAACCTTTATGGAGAAGAACCAACAAGAAACCCAACCGTACTATTTTTATTAAAATAGCAGTTTACAATCATGTATGTTACAATTAACAACACAAAACAAATGAGAAATAGTTCGGTAGCGATCACCCACATTATATGAATTAAGAT